TGCATCATTTGTATTATCAACGTGAATATTAAAATCTCCGACAATTAGCGCTTTATCAACAGTAACCAATAGGTCTGAGAGGAAATCTGCAAATTCTTTTAGGAAATCTGTATACGGCCCTGGTGGTCTATACACAGTAGCCAGAGCAAGAGATACGATAGATTTTGGATTATTTTGCATATCTGACAGCGTAACATTAAGCATAAGTATTTAGAATGAGTTAAACCTGGATCCTGTTTTCTGAGTAACATTGAGAATATCACTATATATTGTTGCAACACCGCCGCCACGACCAGTCTGACGGGGCTCATGCTTATAACAGTAGCTTGGTGGAGTAGACTCATTTAGACCAATATAATCATTTGGTTTTAGCCAGGTTTCAGTCAAGCAGAGTACATCAAAACTATTATCTCTGTGATCATTTCATTTATAATAACTGCTTTGGGTGCGAGTGATCTAATATTTAGGAGCCCAAACTTTAAAAATCGTTTTTGCTCATTTATTTTGCATTTTTCTGGTTTAATCACGATCAGATTTTTTCTAGAGGCCTGCATTAAATTTACATATATTTTGACCTCACTATTCGGGGAACAGACACAGTCTTTATAGATTGGACAGCGCAAGTACTTCTATCATTTAAGCGGGTAGAACAAAAGTCATCAGGGCAGTTATTTGAGATTTGACGTGATCTAATATTTAGGAGCCCAAACTTTAAAAATCGTTTTTGCTCATTTATTTTGCATTTTTCTGGTTTAATCACGATCAGATTTTTTCTAGAGGCCTGCATTAAATTTACATATATTTTGACCTCACTATTCGGGGAACAGACACAGTCTTTATAGATTGGACAGCGCAAGTACTTCTATCATTTAAGTAGGTAGAACAAAAGCCATCATAGCAGTTATTTGAGAATTGGCTTACTAGTCATATGGAGTCTGAAATGCAAAAAATGTCCCACTTTAGGGCAATTCACCCTAGTCATTATATAGATCAGTGACTGGCGCACTTTTGTCATAAGTTACAACCGAGGCTGGCTCTGTCTTATGTCTCAGTAAGTGGTGCTGTACTGATTGTAGTGAAAATGTCCTCAGAGTACTTAACTAGAAATATTACCTTAATATGGTAGCGAACTTTCATCTTGTTGCTGGGCCGGCTTTTTCGTACGTTGTAGCAGACAGTGTTGGGTTAGTAACTAGACATGTAACAGAGTTATGTAATTTAATTATAAAATAAATGTAACTGTAATCTGTTACAGTTACTGAGAAAAAAATGTGTAATTTATTTACAGTTACTTATGAAAATGTTAAAGATTACAAAGGGGGTTACATCTGAACTTACACACATCTGATTTCTTTCCCAAATTGCATTGACTGTTCTAAAATATGAGACACCAATGTTTCAGGAGTTTAGGACACAGAACACGTGCTTTTTTGATAACTGTTTTATTTCCTATTTGGGTTTGTGTAACTATAAACTATTTAACTATATCGTATGATTTTACATCTGTATTTAACCCTTAGATTGATCTCAAAGTAAAAAGAGGTGCTAAAGTCAGATTTTGTGGTGGCTGTGCTTTAAAATTAAATTATTATAATCTCAATTCAAGTGATGAAGGATTCTAAAAGTCTGGCAGTAATCAGTGTGGAGTACTACTGTAAGGTCAACCCTGCCTGGTTTAAATGTTTGAGAATGATTGACAGTTGAAAACATTCATTAGAAATTTAGAAAAGTAGGCCTAATCAAAAATTAATAAAATGTAATCAGTTACATTACTTTAATAAAGTGATTGAAATAGTTACACTACTTATTACATTTTAAATAGGTTAACTTGTAATCTGTAACCTATTACATTTCCAAAGTAACTTCCCAACACTGATAGCGGACTGTTTTCCTTAGCGGAAGATTACATAACACCCAGGTATAAGATTATAAAATAATTTAAACAAATCAATATTGTATGTCCATGTATTTATTTAAGCGAGTGTACAATGAACTCAATTCGAGTCAAATTTAACACTCCTGAAATGTATATATGACTCCCTCCATTTTGGAGTTAAAATAATACTTTCGAACGTGTGAAACATGTACATTACTCACAGAGTACATTTTAACACTGAAAGAGTTTATTTGTCAATCCAGCAGATGTGTCACACACTTCTGTTGGATTACAAATAAACTCTTATGGTTTCCTTGTGAGTAAGATTAAACACTTTATTTCACCGTCTTCCATCCTCATATGCTCCGCATCTCAAGCAAAGAAAATAGTATCTGTGAAAAATATTTCAGATGGGTCAGGCGCGCACACGAGCAAATGTACCGGATGTGACTAATAACACTCAACAGTGTTAAAGGGGTGGTTGATTGCGATTTCACTTTTTTAAGGTTAGTTAGTGTGTAATGTTGCTGTTTGAGCATAAAAAATATCTGCAAAGTTACGAAGCTGAAAGTTCAATGCAAACGGAGATATCGTCTTTTAAAATTCTGGCAGTTTAATGCCTACAAAAACGGCTCATAGGGACTACAACAAGTTACTTCCCGGGTTCGTGACGTAACAAACCCAGATAAACCCCGCACTTGGGAAAAGGCAGCAAAGGGGGCATAGCCATGATGCGCTGCTTTAGAGAAGAGGAAGAGAAAACTAGGGGTGCACGTAAAAATCTATTCATATATGAATCGCAATTCTGTCTTCTAAAGATTCTAATGGATTCACAAGTTTCAAAATCAACGTTCTAAAGCAGTGGTTCTCAATTCTGTTCCTCACGTCCCCCTGCTCTGCACACACTCTGCATCTCTCTCTCTCTCTCTCTCTCTCAGATCATCAGCTC